TTTTTTTTTTGATTTTTAATCCAGGGCATTAGATTTAAGCCTAAGAATACTTTGACTCCAAGTTTGTGAGTAGAAACAATTTGGTTAAAATTATTCCAACACCAAGGAATTTTATCCATGAATCATTTGCCAAAACAAACTCCATATGCTATTTTAATTCTTTACTGCTCACTGCTAAATCAGTCTATATGTTACAGAAACCTGCAGCCAAGATTATGGAGGGAATCAAAGATAACATTACCTTCTTGGAACATCTTCATTCTTTGTCACTTTTATTTGACAAATACAGAATCCATAATATCAGTAGTTAAAGCAAACATGTTTTTCCTCCAATGTCTCTGTTTCACATGAGATTTAATTTCACAGTGGTAGAATCACAAAATCAGGACATGTCTTGGTTGTACTGAATGTCCCTGCCTGACAAGCTTGTCCATTATTATCACTCAGATTCATTAAAGAAAAAAGAAACAATATCAGTTATTCAAACAGAAAGAACGCAACAAGGCAATTGACTAGATAGCTATTGGAAGACTGAAAAATTCTAAGCAAGCATGGGGATCACACAGATAGCAATTGCTGGAAGCAGCTGCCAACCAGGGGCTGAGTGCAGAAGAAGGAGGTCTGAGTGACTACAGCTTAGAGGTGGTGCACACAGAGATGGCAACCAGTCCTTTGAGGAGGAGGCACTGTGGTGCCTCTGAGGTAATATGAGGGAATTTTGGGACTGCAGAAAAACATTGGGAACCGGGACCAACTGCCACAGCGACCAAATTTTGCTTCTGGGCTGAAGCATTAATGGGCTGATGGGCAGAAATAGGAAGAAAGCAGAAAGAAGCAAGTCCTCACTCCTTCATCCAGTTCTCACCCCTCTATCAGCATCCTGCTTGTAGAACTAACCAGGAGACTGGTGGCAGAGACGGTATGTGGTTTGCTGTTTCCAGTCACAGCATCACAAAACAGAGTGTAAATGGGAGGTTTATACCTGAGAGACAATAGCTCAATAACCAGCACAGCATTCAAATGAGGCCAAATTAACATTAAAGTTCGAGTTTTGCTAACTCCTAGCACACAGTCTTGAGAGAGTTATTATTTCCTTCCTCTGCCACAGTCCTGCCAAGAGTCATGAAATAATAATTTCCAATCTCTCAGAAGCTTTCTAAAAAAAATATTCACCTTTTCCACCATCACCAACCCCCCATCAATTTTGCCACATCACGCTTAAATCTGTGTCAAGGTATTTTTAATCCAGCATGTACCAACATCACATGTGAGGGGAAAAGATTTATTTCTGCCCAACTTTTGTTCATTGAGGCGCTATTCACAATAGCTACTTTATGGTAACAATCTAAGTTCCTAGAACAGATGAATGGATTTAAAAGATGTTGTACATATACACAGTGGAATACTACTCAGGTATAAAAATAAAGATGAAATCATGCTATTTGTGAAAACATGGATGGAACTGGATGTGATTATCCTAAGTGAAATAAGTAAAAAAGAAAAACAAATACCACATGATATCGCTCACATGTGATATAGGAAGGAACAGACAAAACTAAACCAAAACAAATCCTAGAAATCTGACTGTAGAATTAAACATACCAGAGAGGCAGGGTGGTGGGTAGGAGCAAGTGGGGAGGGGACCCAGTGAGCTATGGTGGTGTATTATGGGTGCTTTGGTGGTGGGTCTAGTGTGGTAACATATATCTTAAGAGATGTGAACCTATACCCCTTAGTCTTATACAGTGGCATAAACCAACATTACCTCAACAAAAATACCAATTTTTAAAGTTAATAATCATAATAACAAAACTTAAATATTCAGCCAGGAATGGTTTCACAGAAAGCAGAGCCTGAGACAAGAACTTGTAAGTGGGTAGTTTATTCGGGATGTGGACTCAAGAAACATGAGTGCAAGGAAGGGAAGAAGGTCAAACCAGTGTTGTTGAGGTTACCAATGAGAACAAAAGTTCCTGAGAATACAGAAGATCTTGACCTCAGAATAAGCCATGGGGGTATTTTCCTTCTGATTTCCATCCCTCGTCACTGAGAGCTGCTCCTCTGAGCAATAATTATCCAGCTTTGACTTCTGGGCTATAGCATCAGAGAAGCTCTGCATCAGAAGTGGAAAGAAACATGTTGTAACTTAAAGCAAGAGAAGCTGTCAACCTGAGGGGAATCAGAGTTTGGTGGAATGGTCTGCTACAACTTGGGCTCTAATTGAAAAGGGCGGCTGATGGAGACAGTTACCAGAGTGTCTGTTGCAAGGTGTGCCAGGGGAGTTTTTGTCAGAGCATTTGCCAGTCTGGGTAAGGGATCCACCCAGTTCAAATGGATTGAAATCCATTTTTAGTTGAGGGACTTGGGACAAGAGAGAGATTACTCAAAGTCCAAATGGGTTAGAGCAATGAGAAGCCTAGAGGGGCTACACCTGGAAGTGATGTGCAACCTAGATCCAAACGCAGTCTCATATTTATTTAGAATCAAGTTCAAGGAAGGTGGGCAGACACACAGGGCATGCACATGCATGGAGAAGTGTTATTAGCGATGCGTTGTCATCTGGTGCAAGCTAGGTTGGAGTGACCAAGGACTATTATCTGGGGGTTTCACACTTCCTGATAGTCAAGGCATGTTTTATCTATTCTTTATTCTTACCTAACTTTCTGTTAATCCTCACAAGTGAGGTAGATTTTACTAATCTGGCCATAATATCTGCCTGCTGTTTTCAGCAAATACTGGTTTCTGGTATGGTCTTCATACCAGGACTTTTGTCTGTGGTGTGAGACCTCCTGCCTGATTGCACATTTAGCTGACCAGAAAGAACTCTGGGCACTGAGACATTAGCCCTGAGACCAAGGAGGGCTGCGGACCCTACAC